CATTGCTACTTTTATTATTAATCCTCGTCTTTTCCAACTTGATTTGTCCCTTGGTATGAAATTGACGCAGTAAGAAAATATCTATCAATGAAGGTATAAACATTGCAAATCGACGAAATTTCTATGTTCAATTGCGCACACGTGTAAGTTAATTTTCATATCGTGATTTCAGTTTCTTTAACAATGTATTGTGAATGTGAAACTATAAATTCTTGTACGCATCTTCGAGAAGATGTTGCTTTGAATGATTCTTTCAGGTTTAATTATAACACCTGACTTCTACGGACTTGAAAACGAATTTTAAACACATATGTTTTAAGCATGCAATATAAATATCGAAAATATACGTTGCATCTTATACATAATATACTAGAACTATAATGTACACATTTCGCAAGGAAAATATCAAATTGACACAAGATACGATATCGTTAAAGAAAGTTGTTTGTCATTGAAGAAAAGAAATATAGTTAATGAACTACAAATTGCAATTCAACATCGTACGACAATACGTGACAATATTTCGAGTTCAAGAAACTTGACTCTTATTGCCAGAGACAGAGTACCGGCTCGGTTGTGCAAGATCGTCCAAAGTTAGAATATTCGCGATAGTGGTCATAATTATAGTTGATGTCTGTTTAAATCATGCGCGTTCATTCGGAACATTAGAGTGCCTTACTATTGGCAATCAGAAGTACTAGAGATCCTTCTAGTTGAACAACTGTGAACAGGTGCGAAGCGAATCTGTGAATAAAGGTGGTTCTGTTCCTTCGGACAGTAGATTCTACGCTATCTTCAACTGCAATAGAACTATTTGAAGAACGTTACATGAACTTATCAGACAAATGATTCATACAATTGGAGTTCGTGTAATAACATATATAATAGAAAAAAAAAGAACTCCTGACGAAGAAGAATTTATTGCAACGTGTTATTTCTTGACAATAAAATTTTACTATCTTGGAGATTAACATAGACATTCATATATATATATATATATGTATATTTCAGACGCTGTAATTTTGATTGAATTTTCTTTATTTTTTAATATCTTTTAGTACCCGAGATAATATATCTACGATATAATATATCACGAGTTTTCTTTTTGCCCATTGAAATTAATTTTACAGCTTTTTGAAAGTAGACGATTATTTTCGTTGCCTTGTTCATTTATTCAATCACGTTTGAGAATATTTCATAATATATCTTTCACGAACGAATACGAGCATCTAATGTCCATTCATTCTCCTTTTTAGCTACTTAATTTTTTTATTAATTAATGTTGTCGTTCAACCGATTGATTTGAACACTATCTAAAATTCGGTTCGGGGTCAAGCTTGTATCAACGAAGTTCCACTCGAATCGGGTTTTTCGACGTAGCATCGTAGTCGTTTGGCAAAGTGAGCTACTCGCCGTTAACGAGACACGGCGGAAGAGAAAGAGAGACGGGGAGACGAAGTAAATAAGGAGAAGACTGCCAACCAATGGTCGGAGACCGCTGACAAGTTAAAAACAGCCGAAGGTTGCTCAAAAACTTAACGCGAATATGACCGTAGAAAGTCGCGAGTGTCAGTTTCGTGGTTCGTCGCCGCGGACGAATGTTGAGAACGCGGTCCTACGACTTTCTACTTCCGGCTGATTTATCGCCCGTAGTATGATTTACCGCCGGTATATTTCAAAAGTAGTCCCGGCCGCTACCGGTGAATTTACGTCCGCGTGAATCGCGCTCGTGACATCGACGCTCGAGTAGAGGGGCAGAGTCAGAATGAACTCGAGACGAGACGAAGAACCCGCCACCGTTGCCGACGAAACGACGTGACGTTACATCGCTCGGCTAGTCCATAAATATTATTTGTGTTCGATTGACGAACGCCGCGAGTCGCGGACGCGGGACGAGAAGTATTCATTCGCGCGACGAAACGAAGGAGACAGAGAGAAAGGGAGAAAAAAGAAAACGAAAGAAGGAGCTTGGAATTGAAAAGAAGTAGGCGACAAAGTTCCTGAAGAGACGAAACATCGCTCACGGGCCAACTCGCCGGGGACAAATGTAAATTTAAAAGGTGCCTTGTACTGAGAGCCAGCTGCAACCGTGTTAATCAGTAGAATTAGTGCACGCGCGGTCATCCTCGGCATGACAGACACGGAGAAAAAGTACACTAGCGCCTATGGAAGGCTGCGAAGATTGACGAGTACTATAGACGGCCAGATTCGACAGATCAGTGTGAGTAGAGGAATTTTGACGAATTTTGCTCTTACTTTGGTAGAGGAAAAGGGATATTAATATTTTTGGAAGGAAATTTTTAATTTTATTACGGAGATTTGGTTTCTATGTTTTTTCTTTTTTAGACAGTTTTTCATTCTTTTTGTTTTTCATTCCCGGTGACATTGGCAATTTTACAAAAGAATTTTGAGACAATCGTAGCATTTTGATTGGCTGTTAACGAGGGTTAATATGGAATTGACACGAGAAGCAATGGACACTAGTAGCAGTTGATCTTTCGAGAAGTCAAACTGATCATTTCTCGACTTCACAATTGACTTTCGATTTTCAAAGAAGAAATAACTATCGTACTACAAGATTCTGAATTTACGGAATACTATAACACCATCGCTCTTCTCTATTTTTTTCAATTTACAGGATCGATCAGTGTAGCTTCACATTTTCTTAAATTTGACAAGTTTAAAAAATTATTCCAACTAAACTGTGGATGTCTCTATAAAATTCCAACTTTTGTAAATATAACGAACATAAAGTATTTCACATACTTTTGCCTATTGAGGGCTGAAAAAAAATTTAAGAAGTAGATGATAAAAAAAAAATATATATATATATATCATTTTTACCAAAAAAAAATTATATTTAATGAAAGTAAACACAAATTTACTGTCACTGATGCGACAAAGAGCACGATATTTACCAAATCGTCAAACATTCGTGATTTCCTTCACATCGAATTTTCATCCGATCAGTTTCTCGTTTCCCGACGCGTCGCAGTTACGGCGTCGATGCAAATTCGCATCTAGCGAACCGGCATTAGCCGCGTGTTTGACTCGGCGGCATAGAAATTCAAAGGGATCGGGTAAATATATAAATGCAGACACGTATACTCGTAAAACTCAGCCGACTTTCCGGCGAGTTTATACGAGCCGGTCCTCGCGACTGCTGGAAAAGGACGTGACCCAGTTGAATACCAACTCTATCCACTCTCGTAGAGGAGCTGCGAAGCATCAGGGCGAGAGCTTTCGGCTGTGAGACACGTCCGTTTCGACCGACTCCGCTGTCTCTTTCCCACAGGCGCTTACGATTACACTCGTGCGATATCCATAGACGTAATCCGCCGGAGTCGTTTCGCCCAGCGACGTCGTCGAAATCGTTTCTCGAACACCGAATCGTCCTGTATGGACCTCCGTTCGTTCGTTCTGGAATTCTCGATTAATGCAAAAACCGCGCGAACTTGTCGCGGAAGAATTCTTACGTTTCATATTGAACGTTTCGAGAGTTCATCGAGGCGATCGGTATGATATTGTATTAAAAATTTTCTATTCGAAACTAGTCGGAGAAATTACGTAGAAATTATAAGATATATATATATATATATATATATATATTTAACAAGAGATGAATGGTCAACTTATGCGCGCAATAAGACGAATATTGTTCTATTAAACAGTGAGATTTATTGATATAATGGGCAATTCGATGTTGAATTAAATACTTTTGGAATTTCTACGAAATATATACTTTAATATGCATTTAATATCCAATAATTTCTACATATATATATATATATATATATATATATATCTGTGGAGATTTGTTTCAAGCCTGACCAATATTTTTATAGCATTTATAGAAACATTTAATTCAATATTCTGTGACGGTATTATGATAGTAATAAATTCAATATTTGTTTCATTTACCAAACATGGTAATTAATATTCTACTTCATGTATATTCTGTTGATCTCTGAATTCTCAGACAACCTAAAATATCTAAATAATTGAACAGTGTGAAGCGGATACAAATACGCTATTCCTCTGCGCCATCTTCATCGAATCTATAGATCATCGTATCCTCAAAAACTCGTACTTCAAGTCACAAGACGTACTGTGCAGTACGCTCGACCGCAGCTCGAGAAGTATAACGCGAATAGTTGCGAAGATGAATATTTTCGGACGCAATTGCTACGTGCTTGGATATAATCGCTTTACGGTGTGCTCGGGACAACAAATCCCCCGGCGGCTGTGGTCGCTACGATCGTCTTAGAAATAGTTTCCTCGAAGCGAGCGCTAATGAAGCTTGCTATAAGCAGTACGGGTTAGTTAAGCTCAGTCGTGAGTTAGGTATCGAGTGATCTATAGCTACGCCCACACAGCGGCGGTGTGGCAATTTCCACCGAAATAAACGGTTGTTTATTCGAGATATATCGTGTACAATTGCTCAGCGAAAGTATTCGAACGTTTATAGGATCTCCGCTGATTTTCAAGCAAATGATTTCAAGAATATTGTTTTAAATATTAAATATATCATGGAGAGCGCTTGTGGTTTAGATATATTTATTATGTGCATTCTGTGGCACTTTGAAATTTTCGTAACGAGACACAGTGTTTAACAGTGTTTGTACACTTTGTAGAAATTACAAGAGTAATTTAATACAATGAGTATCATGTATATTTAAAGGATTTGAACGGCCAATTATCCATTATATTAACAAGCTTTTATACTGACATCTTATTAAATCTATATTTAAATAAATATTCTGTTATTTCTGATTGATTTCGAATTTTATCGATATCGTCATGATAGTTGTCTCTTATTAGATTTTTTAAATCTCTAAGAGTTTAAAAAAAAATGGAACCTTTGATTATTTTACCAAATACTCCGGATATTTTTTCACATTAGTAGCATTATTAATAAAAATTGCTTCGTGGTCTGGTGATCATGCTCGGAGACTATTTTCTCTTTTCTTTCTTTACGAGTGGCGTTAAAAGACAATTGGCCAAAAGGCTGAATGGATAACTCTCTCTCTCGCCATCTTCCTCGTTGCGAGTCTTATCGGCTAAAGAATCGAATCGACTATCTGTCAGATTAAAAAGAAACATTCGACGTTCCATTTGCATTGCGGATTTCGCTAATCTCGCTTTGACGGATTTTATTTTCACTTGGGCAAGAATTTCGATCTAAACGAGCATTCCTCGTCGATCTTTCACCGCATTGAAAAATTGAACGAAAGAGTTTTCACGAGAGTGCTCTTGAAGTAACTAAATTGACTGAAACAGACTTCATTAAAATGTACGGACTCGATTGATGAAGGAATGAATAAGTTCGTACGATGAATAAATGAAACAAACACGTATAGATTCGACGAATGTAAAAAACAAATTGACACGGGAAACTGTTTGATTGTTCTAAAAAAAAAAAAACTTCTTTGCAATCTCTATAATTAAATACAATGTGGAGGAGACAATTCAAAGAAACATTCCTCTTAACTACTAATGAAAACAAAAAGCTTGACTCGAATAAAAAAAGAAATATACAGATTCAAAAAATCTTCTAGTTCCCTCTAAAAAAAAAAAACTTTCTACAATTACTAATAATTCTCTATAATTGAATAAAATACATATAGTGTGAAGGAGACGATTCAAAGTTTCTCTTAACCACTATTAATAAAGAGAAAACTTGATTTGAATAAAAGAAAAAAAATGTTCAGAAAGGATTCAACGAATGTAAAGATCAACGTAATCTTCCAACCCTTTTGAAAACTTCTTTTACTACTCGAATTTTCTCCAACCGAATAAAATGCAACGCGCACGGAAACACAGGATCAGGAGGAAATATTTCTCCCGACTACTCCGTCGATCGAACATTAGTCTCTGTCAAGGTGTATTTAGGGCATAAACGGTCTTACATCGGCGAATTCGTTCACAGTAGAATGAACGTGCGAACATTGATAGCGGTCCGCAAAATTGCTGCTAAGTCAATGTTCGCCTAATCGTGTTAGCGGCATACGTGTTCCCTTAATCCGCCTGTCTATTAATGCCGATTTAACAATGTCAGGCACAGGTCGCCTGTAGAAGGTGGACAAGCCTGTAGACGTTATCGAGGGTCAAGCCATTCGCGAGAGTTGGGATAAGACTATTAATTGTGCGAATTATATGCGTGCCCGCATCAACGTCTGGTTGATCAAACGTTCGATGAAAGGAGGCCAGAGGTTCGTTGATTAACTTGAGTCAATCACCACAGACAGGTGTCTCTGTGTTTCTTGAGCGATCCAACGAATTGAATTTTGATTGAGTCACGGTGTATTAGTACGATAGGTATAGCAAATGTTTGCTTGTATAGTAGTCTGTTAGTGATATATGTGAAAAAAGAAAAATTAAAATAGGATGGAATGAGCCCGAATACGAGGACGACAAAGGAATATGAAGTTCTCTCTATAACCTTCAAAAATTTTACCCTTTGTGCACTCACATACACAAACGTACGCTCATATTTTAGGTCTTAAGATTAGGGTTAGGTAAATCTTAAGGTTTAGGTTAGGTTTAGGTTAGGTTTAGACAAATTACAAGTTACATTTACATTATAAATCCAATCGTGTAAAGTTAATGTATGTATATTGGCCGATAAATACATACATCAGTTTGTACGTTTGTTCCAGTTGTAGATAAGTGACTGGCAAATAAATGAAATTGAAGTACATTTAATTTACAATTTACAAGAAAAAAGAAAGCGTGAAAGACAAAGAGAACAGACGATATAGAAAATGCGTAATGTTTTAATCTTATTTCGATAGAACCATAAAATCAGTCTCTTCTTAAAGACATTTTGCAAAAAGGCATACATATTCCATTTTTCAGTTTCCTTGTGGTATTTACTAGGTCTTTATCACTACTTGTGTAAAAAAAAAAAAAAAAAATTGGAAAAAACTGTCTTCAATCTTTAACATGAAGTCCCCAAATGCTTGTCCTTCGAACCCTAACGGTTCTTGCAATAGAACTATATATAGGAACTTGTTAAGTTGGGTTCACCACAGGTAACTTGTAATGATTTCAATACTGGTTTCAGGTATTACACCAAAAACGTCTGACCTTATGATTTACCCTAATCTTCCATGTCTGATCTTTTTCGCTACGACTATTACATCGGCCACGCAGCAGGCGACAATTGCAGTAGAACTCAAACTGAGTTAGAAATACAATGAAATGCAGCAATAATTTTGACAAGTTTAGTTAAAAATTAATCAAACGGCACTCTATAAATTTGATGGAGTCGCGAAAGAATTGATCAATCGGTAATTACCCAATTTCGTCAAATTAATGAGATTTCGGTCGGGATTGGCACCGTTCTGCAAACGAGGCCGCGGTCACCGGTGCGCATTAAGTTTTGATGCGACATCACCATCACGTTTAAAACAGAATAACGTTTCAACTAACACTAGACCTATCGGAACGATATCCAATTATAATTCATAATTTCACAAGTTTCAGGAATTTGACGTAAAAATGAAAGCTTGTGTTCTTTACTGTGTTACAAACTTTTTCTTTTTTCATACTTTTACCTCCAATCCCTCTGGTGAAAGTTTCACACTTTAATCGTGTCGATAGTTCTAGCGTTAACACCAATCTAACTTACGTCTTACGCCTTTCTCTTTTTTTTTTTTTTCAGTCTGAATATGGGCTCACGGAGGATCAAGTGGCCGGTAAGTGGATCTCGAAAATCAAGTTCACCATTTACTCGTTTTGTATATAAAACAATAAAACAATTTTAACGATCCGTTCCGCCTCCGGAACAATAGACGGGAACGCGTTAGACATTTTCTCGTTCGCTCAACACCGTGCTTCGAAAACTTTCCGAGTGAGAGTGTCGACGAACGTACGTTAACGAGTTAGGAACGAACTTTTTCGCGACACGCGCTCGTCTGGTACTTGACAGGATGATTTTCCTGACACGAAACGTTACGTCGCAAACTGTTCCCTCCCCTCCGTACGTACAAAATAATTTCTGCTCCACGAATATTTATAATTTTTTATTTCTAATTTTGTTGCTTCGTATCTATATCGTATAAATTAATCTGCACTGGAAATTTTTTATTTCCACTCGTTCTCGTTGATATATTCATTTAATATATTTATTTGCTTCATAATTATAATTATTTATAAAATACATGTAAGTACATATCTTTGTCTTGAAAATACTTTCTTTTCATTCCTATAGTCCAATTGTACAAGTACTAATCGTTGAGATGAGTGTAATTCAGATAATCACCTTCACAAAATTTTCAGATTTGTTTTCATTTCAATCGAGATCAGAATTATATTAAAAAATTTTACTTGAAGCACAGTATACCTACCATTTATAGAGACTCTTACTCCGTGTGTCGTTTTATTTACAAAGACAGGCGTCATTTTGAAATTTCTGTCACTATAATAACGCACGACTGTCACGATCAAATTGATACGCTTTGAAACAAATCTACAAAATATTCAATATACACGAGTGGCAATTTGAAAGGCCAGCTACTTTAATACAAATTCATACATCTATGACTGCGCAGATCTGTTCAAGTATTCTCATAACTTACAAGCGGATCGTGCAATTTGCGAAAGTAGCTTTACGTAAGTGACATGTCCTGTCACTTCGCGCTGCTGCACGTACGTGTTGCACGAAGTATCGTGTGTCCCGGCCTCACGTGACTGCGATCATGCGAAGTTGATTCCTTCAGCGAGCAGGAAGCCCTTCGAGGTTCTTTTTTTCTCGCGATGGCACGCGAACGAGATATGTATATCCGCGATCGGACCGGGCAAACGGCCGGTAAGGAGAAATTGCCCACTCGTTTATGCACATTAATACATCGTCCGGTATTTACGGTGGTGATAAACGCAAGGTGAATGCAGACCGATCTATGCGGCAAACGATAAGATCAGAACGACTTCGTCTACAAGTCTCATTATTCGTCCACCATGCGCAACTGTTGTATAATCCGGCGGCACTTTTATACCGAATTCCTAAATTTCTCTCCCCTCGCGTGACTTATCGCGCCGTTAAGGGAACAATTGTACTTTCTGATTAAACGGATCGACAATTTGCCAATTTCATCACGGCTTTTCCAACGCTTCGTTTTTGTTACGATCAGCAAAGAGGCGATTCTATGTGAAACCATAAGTGAAGAGTAAAACATGCCAATTCTTCTCAAAGCAATTAATAATTGATTATTGCATGTCTTGTTAAATCCAATTTTCCTCTTATTCTCCAATTTCGTTTTATTTTTATACAGAACGGTCTCCTGTCAGGATTAGCCAAATAGACACTCAAATTTGATACTTCTATATATATATATATATA